GGGTTGTTCGACCCCCAAAGGGGTTGTGACCCACAGGTTGAGAACCGCTGATCTATGGCAATTTTCTATAAACACAATCTTTCATATATGCTATCAGAAAGAAAACGAGTTAGTGAACCTAATTGTTTCAACAATGAAGGTAAAATTCTGTTGGTCTTCCACAATGAAAAATAGGTTTTCAATGATTCAGCTGTAAATGGCTCACACTTCAAATTTGATGCTCGTTTCATAATAAATGCTATAAACAAACCGATGAAGAGTTATAAAAGCAACTTTAGTGCTCAGAAAATAGCTATCACAACTAATTGCTACATTTTATTTTTAGATAAAACTTTCATCTCTAAGATGTTATAATTAAAAGCATTACCATTCTTTGTGCTTACAAATTCTTCAATAATTTCATCACAATTAAGCCGCCGAACAATATCTACTTCCATACATAATAAAGACAGAGAACTGAGTCTTTCTTGAATGATGGTTGTACACTGAAGTTTTCTGAGTCTCTTAAGGGATGAAAATGAGTGGTCGGTTGTGCAGTTTGTGATCATTAAGGTTAGGAATATGCGTAGAGCAATTTCAACATTTGGAAATACACATTGTATTTTATCTTCTATTATGGAATCATACATGCCTACATGAGTAAACTTTGTCTTTCCTGAATCTGAAAATTTAGTTCTAATGTAAGAATGAAACTGTCGCACTTCCCCGTAAAGGTGTGTGTTTAAGTCCTCAGGATAAGCCTGCACTAATGTCTTGGATGCCTCCAAGCATTCTTCATCAGGTATATCCACATTGTTTAAGAAGGAAAATCTACCTGAAAGAACTTCATAGGCTTCTGCTCTTCTTTTCATGCATGATGCAAGTCTGTCAATGATGGTGTAGTACGTGGTTACTCGAAATTGATCTCTGGCACTCAAGACTCCTGGAATACTTCTGTCACTTACTTGTTTCTTTCTAATGTTTCTGTGATGGTGAACTGATTGATAATCAGCATCTGGCAGTATTTGTTTTGATGAGTTTTCAAAAATCTCAAAATCTTCTCTTAAATTATGTAAATACTCTGTTAATGACTCGTAGACGTCTGTGCACATCTTTAAGTTTCCTTCTGAATCCTGGAGGGCTTGACTCATCTGATGAAAATGCTGCAGTATATTATTCCACAAAACCAGCATGAACACATACTCTAGCGTTTGCATTCTGTTGGCGATATTTTCCGCTTCTCTTCTGGCATCGCCTCTTTGTGTAGGGTCTTCAACAATATTTTCTAAGGCTTCTAGAATCTGAGTGTATGACGTCAGGATCACATTCGTTGCTGAAGCATGCACTTCCCAATGTGCAACACAAAGACATTTTAATACTTCATCATTGCCTAAATACATTTTAAGAACTGCCCATCGTTGAGTAGAGGCAGCAAAAAATGTACAAAGTAAATGAACAGTTGAAAAAAAATTAACTGCTTCTGGACAACAGTCTACTGCACCACGTCCTACAAAATTAAGTGAATGCGAGGCACATGGTATGAAAACGGCATATTTGTTGTGCTCTAAGATTTTCTGTTGCATGTCTTTATAACGCCTTGACATATGAGCAGCAGTGTCATAGGACTGGCCTCTGCACTTAGAAAAATCAACTTTGCAAATTTCACATAAATAGTGAAGTACTTGATCTGCAATTTCTTCACCGGTATGACTTTGTAAGCTAGTAAATGTGATAAATCGCTCGACAGGTTTTCCTTCAGTCGGAGATACATATCGTAAAACAATGCTTAGCTGATCTGTGTGAGAAAGATCAAAAGAGGAATCTATAGACAAAGAGAAGTATTGAGCTATACTTATTTCACTAAAAACAGTTGATCGAACTTTATCACTTATTAAAAGTAGTAATTCTTCATATGTTGTTTTAGACATATACCATGGGTTGTCCTTTCTTGTGTTACCATATTTTGAAATGTGACCCGCTAAAAATGGATCAAACTGAGCAACAAGTTCAAATAAACCCCAAAATTTTCCATTTTGTCGGGACTGACACACTTCATTTCTTCCTAAAAAAGACAGCCCACTTTCAGCAATTGTTATGATGACAGCAACAACACGCTGCAAAACACCTTTCCAATAGTGATGTTTTTCATTAAATTTTGTTTCCACTTCAAGAGTTAAGCCAAAACCATGAAGTCTTTGGTTTAAATATGACAACATACAGTCTCTGTGAATTAAACTGTTTTCATGTTTATCAATAATACTCGAGTTGCGCCAATCGCTAAATCCATCAGTAACAAATCGAGAATTAAATGGTTTACGACTGAATAGTTTGCAAACAAAACAATACACAGAGCCAACTGATGGAGAATATAGTAGCCACTCCCTCTTATAATTTTCACCGTTAGCTTTGCACCCTAGAAATATATTCTGGCTACAGAACCTTGTTTGTTTACCATCCAGAAACTTTCGGCATGACTTTTCAAATGGTCCGCTGTGATGCTGACAATCACTTGGTCCTCTTTGGATCCAATAGTTGACATCACTAGAAGAAAATTTATTCCACAAAGCAGGATCTGTATTTCTATTATTTATAAGATCCGCAGATGCCGCAATTTCAGATTGTACAACAGTGTCACTTTCTGCACTGTTATTCATCTTTTTCCCACAGCTAGGATTGGGTGTACAATTTGGAGCAAATTCTGCTCGGTCTGTATGGCTATTAGTAAGTTCAGCACTAGCAGTACTACTACCCATTAGACTTGTGTATTCAGTGGAAGAAGTCTCTTCTGAGTCATTAAGTTTTACACAGGAGGTTAGTTTTGGAATTGTCTTTAGGGATTCACAAATCCTTCTCCTTTTCTCTTCTTTGAGCTTTGGCTTTGGCACTCCACTTAGTTGCCGTTTCATTTCACCTGGATATAAAATCATGTCACTGTTTAAATTTGGTTCCACTGCAGCAAATAAACTTGAATAATTGAAATACATAAAAGTTATAAAACAAGTAAAATTGATAACATAAAATTTATATTCAAATTTGGTGCTAACACAAAAATTTGTATTTGAAGATTAAGCTAAAAAAAAAAGATTTGGAACATGTAATTTTGTTCCTCAGGTCTGAAATAGTCAAAACAGGGCAGTCAGAAATATCTATCAATGTAATCCTTCCTTGCCCTGACTGCTCATGTTGGATCCAGGTGCACAATGAGTAAATCAAGAATCAGACTCAACACTTCACCCCACCTCGTGTTTATTAGAAAGAATTAGTATATTTTTAAGAGACTGCCTGAGATAAGCAGTTTCATTTACACTGGAGTGGAGAATCGATGATAGATCTCAACTCAAGTGCTGAAGTGGCAGGGGGCACAACCTTGTACGTGGGTGCCCTTGTGCCCCTGCATGAATTTTATTTCCAGCTGGCACATTCTCACATACGAGCTGGCATCAATTCCATTTAGCGTCTTGCTAGTAACCCTTCCCTTCCTCTGCGGCGCATACTTTTCCTTGTGTCCTGTCTGCTGGGCATCTATGGTTCTCTGCTTTGGACAACTGGTGCCTGCCTCTGTTCTGCTGATGCCCTAAGCACAAGCTTACCTTGCTCAAGGGGTAATCCGTCCCTGGTAGACCTCTTGGAGACCCAGATGCTTGAATTAGCTGAAATAGTATCAAGTTTTTACTGATTACTCTTAATAGGGCAACGGAGCACAGAGGTTAACTCCATAATATCAAAATGTAAAAGTCATCTTTGTTGAAAATTCCAGCTACACTCCTCACAAAGGACTCAAAGGAAAAGGAGATTGAGCAACGAGTTCCCAGGTGAACAAAAGCATGGTGTGCCTGTGTACAAATGTGTATGTTCCCTCCTGCCTCATCATGACTAAGTCTTCAGGCATAATTCTCCCTGCAAGCTAAACTAAGTAGGAAGACTCTCATTTTCTAAATTAATATACATATACATTTTTTAAAAGCAGGTAAAAGATTTTTAAATTGGTTCAGGTGGGCAGCAAGTTTCTAAAAAAAGAATTCAGTTTCAATACTAATTAAGATAATGCCAATTTTCAACACTTAGTATTGTGATTCTTTAAGTAACACATCGGAAAAGGTTTTAATAAATGTATACCCTAACATCACATTCTTCTAGCCAGAGATCACATTTTGACAGAAAAGAACTCATAGCACTTACACAAGACTCATTTCAAAAAGGCTATCTTCCAACATTACTAATAATTAAAACTTGAATGTTATCATAAATTTAACAGAAAATAGCTGATGATATATAGAAGCCAAAGAAACGTAAGGTTCGGTCAACACTATGTGAGAATATGGCAATATGTTGTCCTCAATCTCTAGAAGCTGAGAAATAGGACAATTTCCCCCCATACCCCTGGCAGATAGCTAAAGGTCCGTGTTGTAAAATTTGAGACATTCTATTACTGCAGGAATGACCAAGAACTAGTAGCTCAGACATTAAAAACTACTGCTGCCTGTTACATAAACGCCAAGTAAAGGAACAAGTGAAACATGCCCCATTTGTCTGAATAGATAGTTAGGAAGCTAAAGATCACTGACTTACGTTAAGTAAGCATATTCAAAGCACCCAGTAATCAATGAACTAGCAAACCAGCAAATATGCACCAACCTGATTGATCCATGACTTAAATACATACCCTAAGCTACCTAGACAATATCACACAGTTGTCATTTACTGAGCATCAAAGATTTTTTGAAGTCCTGAAAACAATAGAATAAGGAACACCAGAATCCCAAGTAAATTTTAACAGTGAGGAAAAGGTATACCATAAAGTCATGATAGATTAGAGAACAGAGTTAAGAAAAGGCATGGTCCCTGGACGACTAACACTCAAATGAATGAGATTCCTAGGTTTCTAAAAATATGCAGAAAAATTACAGCTCAAGATGGAAATACTCTGGCTCAAAGTACCATTTACATAGGAAATACCTCTGTGTGAGAAAAATGGAAACATTTTAGTTCCTACTGCACATGACAAAGCATGTCAATATTACCTTTCTTTCGAAAGAGTGCATTTAGGTAATTTTCTGCTTGGCATTCAATCTTATCAGCGTTGGGCTGGCCCTGAGATGATAGTTTCTCCGTTGGTGTTGACTGTGAAGAATCAAGCGATGGCATACAGTCCTAGAATTATTAGAAAACAACAGAGCATAAATTACTTCACTCTAAATGGGCTCCCACCACAAATGGCAAAAAGAAAAGTATTTGCTACACGCTCACTTCTTCAACTTTTTAAATATGCCAAATTATATAGAAAGAATATAAACTTGGGGGCAGGATACGGGGACAGGTGTATGAAGAGTATCAGCTCTAATGCGAGGACCACATTAGCTTTATTCCTTAACAAAACAATGTCAAAAAAAAGGAGAGAGAGAGAGAAAAAAAAGAGGTTTAGCAGAGGTTTACCGATGAGTAAATTTACTGCCTGGCATTACAGAGACTTTTAACAAAGCAGATACGTTTACCCACTAATCTGACCACACTGGATCTAGATTCTCAAGGTCTCCTGTCTTCTTGGTTCTTCTCATATGCGTGTATGAACAATCAGGATTCCTCACCACACTAGCTGTTGCTTACACAGTTCATACACTATAGTCGTGGAGCCCTGGTGGTGCCATAGCTAAGTGCTCTCAGCTACTAATCCAAAGGTTGGCGGTTTGTACCCACCAGCTGCTCCACAGGAGAAAAGAAGTGGCAGCCAGTTTCCATAAAGATTTATGGTCATGGAAACCCAGGGGTGGTGGGGGATCAGGGAGGTCTGAGCAGCTGCTATGCGCTGGGATTGACTCAACAGCAATGAGTATGGCTTTTTGGTTTAGACAGCAGGCATTTCGTATTAATAATTTACACAGGGGGTAATTAGGACATTCAAAAGACTTCCAAGAATAAGTGAAAAGCTTTAAAAAAGTAGCACATTATCCCCCTACTTATATACTCCTAAGAAATCAGACTCTATAGTGGTCTTGGAACTAAATTGAATTTCATGAATCAAGAAATTCTAAGAAACATGTGAAATAAGAAAAAAGGATCGCATTTCCACTTGTGAGATATGTTAAATGGTAGGCTACCACCCTTAGACTTCAAGATATACTCTTTATTACCAATATCAAGTATTTAGACTTTCACTGTAAAGTCACAAAATTTTCAAAACCAATTAAGCTAAAAAAATTAAAATTCTGTTACAGTTGTGCAATTCGTTTAGAAATAATTTCACAGCACTAAAACTTACACTGACTGCTTCTCTCTGTAGGTTACAAAATGAACATTTTTCATCCATAGACCAGTCAGTCAGCTCTTCTGGTTCACAGTCTTTAAAAGAAGGAAAAATACTCATTAAATTCACTAACTTCATTAGAACAAACAAAAAGCCCACTCTCCATAGCAGCAAGATGGCTTATCTAAAAATAAAACTAGCTACTAATGCTAAGGGGAGAAGGCCCAACTTTAATACCAAATTGATGGCATCTAAAGGGAAATAGGCAAAGAAGGCCAGAGGAAATTACGCCGGCATCACTGTGGGGTCAAAGAATAAGCCCTGGTGGCAGAGTGAGGTAGACCCTGGGCTGCTAACCACAGGGTCAGGAGGCCAAATCCACCAGAGGCTCTGCAGCAGAAAGAGGAGGCTGTCTGCTCCCACAGGGATTCCCAGCCTTGGGAATCCAAAGGGGGAGCTGGACACTGCCCAGAGGGTTGCTAAGTCAGAACTGACTCGATGGCAGCGACCTGAGAGAGTTATTTGGAGGGGAACAAAGAAACCAAAGCAATGAAGAACTGGTTAAAAGCTAATTCCCCTAAAGTGGGATTCTGAGTATCAATGATGCCTTTTTGAGGGAGTCCGTGAGTGGCACGGACAGTTAGGCACGTGGCTACTTACTACATGAAAGGGTGGTGGGTTGAAAGTTCCGCAGAAGGGCCTGGACAGAGCACCCTGACCGTCAGTCGCGGAGCCCTCCCGCTCACCAGTTGCTGTGACACTCCCGGTGGGGTCGCCACAGGTGGGAACCTACAAGAGGGCTCTGAGTCTTTCCAAACAATCAGCAAACGGGGAAATGTAGGGGAGGGCCAGAAAGGGACAGGCAACCTCACAGATTTGAGACAATGACGTGCTGCCAAGAAAACAGATCCACAGCTCATAAACCAGCTCAGATTTTTTGGCTTTGTCATAAGATGTAGAATAAAATGCAGAAAAACAATACTCATATTATTCAACACATACATTTCTTTGCCACAAGGATGCCAGTTCTTTACAATCTAATAGTTGTAATAAGGAATAGAGCTTCTGGAAAAGAGTTTTATGAGATGAATAACAGCAATGCCATGCAACTATGCTGGGCAGACAGTGCTTTTCAAACTTACTCCTAGATGCAGAAACTCCCAATCACCCTTCCTAGACACGTTCTTATGCCGACCTCAAACACACAAAACCATTATCACCTGTGAAGTCTCCACTCACTGCTGCACCACAGTAACTGATTCCAGTACTTTTGAAATACACAGTAAAGCTGAATGCATGTTTCTGCCAGACAGCACAGGAAACATGCTTACCCTTACGAAATGATAATAAATACAAGTTAGGCTCAGTCCCAAGGACTCTATTGTATGAATCCAGTTATATAGGATGGAATAGAACATAATACAATTTCTTGCAGTATAAAGAGTACATTGGTATCTATCTTTGACTGTGGTAGCAGTGGTCTACAAATAGTTCTACATTTGTAGAGCTGAGCTTTAAAAAGGGGTGGGGGGGGTTTGAAAACATGGATCTATTATAGGGCAATGAAAAGATCAATGGATTTGAAGTCTCAAATATGTGGGATGAAATTCTACTTATTAGCTGGCATCTTGTCAAGCGGCAGAGATTTTTGCTTTAACTGCCTCATTTGTGGATCAAATGGGGGGAGAAATGTGGGAGTGATTTATAAACGACAAAACCCTGTGCAAAGGCTAATTAGTAAGCAAGCAGAGTGACTGGTCATTAAATCTTTTTCTAGTCCCAAACCATCACGTGTGTGTAGTTAATAAGATCCGTTTAGAGGACACACTCTTTTGATTAACTACCTAGTTTAAATCACAGATCCCTTTTTGTGACACAGCCTGACAAACCAAAAAGCTTAACCAATGAATTAAGATCTAGAACCCATCCTCACAGAACTGCTGCCCTGTGGCCTTGATGTTTTCAACCTTCCTTTGTAATAGAATCAGACACTTGCATCTGGACTGCTGGAAGGTGTCCATGCCTTTCACTAGAGGCAGATCCGCTCAGTGGACCAGCAGAAAGGATGTGGAATAGTGGCAGTGCACCCTCTGAAGGAAGGCAGGTGTTGGGAGGCACACCACCTCCCCCCAGTGGCCTTGACCTTCCAGCACCTTCTGGAGTCCTGCAGAGAAAATGGGACCCAATGCTAAGCCTGGGGGTCCAGCTGAACCGGATCACCTGTGAGTTGTTTGTTGAACATCATTGCTGACGCTAATTTTCACTCCCACGGCGGGCATAATTTTGACAGGTCAGAGCAAAAATCTTACCCTTGGTTATTAGAGCCTTGTGAATAGGAGCTATGGGAGTGTGGTAGTTACATAACCTCGTGTCATCCTGAGGGTATTAAGAGTGAATGGGTGGAGTCTAGCCTGTTAATGAGTTATTGGTCTGATGATGCCTCCTGTGGGCACAGCTTTCTAATGAGGATTCTGGGAACTTCCTATCTAATCTATCTATCTCATCTATGTATCTATCTATGTATCATCTATCTATCTATCTCCCTGCAAGCCACATGGAGACTTGCTGAGACCCGTGAGGAGCCTCTCTCTCTGCTTCACTTTGCTGTTGAAGAGCCACACGCAGAGAGCTGGAAAAGCCATGTGGAGACCCATGCCA